GACTCAAAATGGGTATACCGGTTGGGAGCCCTGCACACTGATCACTTTTCAAAGCTGCTGTTCGTGTATTCTGCGGACCATGGCCTATTTTACCACACAAAATACTGAAGGAACTCTGTACGAACCAAATAATGCATTTTTATTGCTGTTTTGAGGGTCTCTTTCTTTTAAAAGTGAACTAAAAAACTATCCTCTCAGTAGACCATCACCAGCAGTTTCATTAGAAGCTAGTACCCATTGTGCAAAAAAAGTAGTGCCTGATGGCCCAGGACTAGTGAAGTTTGTTGTCGAGGTAGTAAATTCTGCTCTTAGTGTCTTGGGGAATTCAAAATACAGAAGATCTGTAATCAATCCTGCTCAGCAATTTTTTTTTTCTGGCTAGTTAAAATGACTTTTGGGCTAGTACATGCTACCTACAACTTTCCTGTATGGAAAGCTGTAAACTGACTTTCCTTGAACCCTGGTGTACTCTGAGCATAGTATCCACAATAATTGGTGACAAAGTTGTCGAGACATTGTCCTCTAATGGGGTAACTTTGAAGAAAACACAATCTACACACCTCCCCTCCATTCAAAGTTTGGGTGTTTGTTGTTTTCTGCAGTTAGCTCGAACAGTGGCACATGATTGCCTGAAGGGGGTGTGGAGGGAAAGCTTTATTTTGCCCTTTGTCAGTTGGCAAAACGTCAGAGAGGCCCCCTAGGGCAAAGTGTCTCAACTAATTTTGTTGCTGATTGTAGCTGTTCTAGTGGGCACAGGTGAAAAATAAAGGGAGGGGAAGGGCATTGGGGGGTTAGGTAGAGCACTCTTCTTGATGCCCCCCCCCCCCCTTTTTTTTCCATCACTATATTTTTCTCCTGTGCTCCACTACCTGTAAGTCTGGGACAGACTACACAGTATTGGCTCCTTTCTACTTTAAAATAATTTTGGAAAACCTGTGGTGTTAGTAATAATAATAATGATAATAATGATAATAATGATAATAACAGTTCTAATTATGCATTTCATGTGCGCCTCAATCACAATGTGTATGTTTTACATGGTTTGACACTCCAACCAGCTATTTGTGAAATAGAACTTGAGAATTGTAGTACAAAATAAAATGATAGTGTTGAAAGTTTGTCTAAAAACTGTTTCTAGTTAATAGTAGGTCCTAACATTTGTGTACTTATATGCAGCATTTTTCTCACATACAGAAAGGATGTTGTCAGGTGTTTGTTGGAAAGATTCCTCGTGAATGTTTTGAAGATGAGATCATTCCACTCCTGGAAGAATGTGGTCAGATTTACGACTTTCGTTTGATGATGGATCCTGCTTCTGGATTGAACAGGGGGTTTGGCTTCTGTACATTTGCAACTAAAGCTCAAGCACAGAATGCTGTCAAGAAACTTGATAACAAGGAAATACAACCAGGCAGAAAGCTCGGTGTTTGTATCTCAGTGGCAAACAATCGCCTCTTTGTTGGTTCAATCCCAAAGAGCAAGACCAAGCAAGACATATTTGATGAATTTTCAAAAGTTACCTCAGATCTTACTGATGTGATCGTGTACCTTTCAGCAGAGAATAAAGGCAGAAACCGAGGATTTGCCTTCTTGGAATTCGAAAGCCATAAAGCTGCTGCATTAGCCAAACGCCGTCTTGAAAGTGGTAAGGTGTATGTCTGGGGTTCACTTATCGCGAAAGTTGAGTGGGCTGATCCTCAGGAAGAGCCGGATGAAGAGGTTATGGCCAAGGTGGGTGTACATTAAAAAATGATTCAAACTTTAAGGGGGGGGGGGGTGTATTTAATCTTGTGGATTGTTCTGTTCAATGGTTTTCAATTCTATTTGCTTACCTTATTATAGAAAATTGACATAAAGGGTTACTTGCAATATTTAGGCCTATGTGGATAACACCCTCCGAGAACTGCTTAATGGTTCATATCCTACGAAAGCCTCATTAATTAATTACTTTATTATTCATTCAAAATAATTCCTAGTTTGAAAACATAGCTAAAGCATGCTTACCTGCATCGATGGTAAGTTCATCTTCGATAGTGTACATTTAGGTTTGTCCAGCTCCGCAAATATTCTCCAAATAGCAGATGTCGCCCTCCGAGTTGTCTTCTTGCTGTTCTTGCCATGTTTTTAGCTATTATTTCACCTATTTCCAGCTGTAGTTCTTACTCTTGAAACGAGTGAAGTGTCTGCCTTTTTTTTCACAACCAAAACAACTCAACCTCGTCCCCAGGTGTTCTCGATAATGGTGCCTTAACCGGTAGCCGGCTGCATTTTTGACGTCATTTCCTCGTCAAACACAAAATTCTTCCAAATGTGGTCATCAGTAACTGGTTATGGTAAATTATGCCTGTGCTTTTAGCCAATCGGAATTGAGGAAATGTTTTGAATGAATAATAATTGAAGTTAATGCAACTTAAATAATATTAACGGAAATTGGAGGATCAATAAATATTACTTTCAAATAAAATAAATTATTAATTTATACATGCAAAATTCAATATAGAAAATTAAATTCACAGAAAATTAATTGCCAAAAGATGGAAGAAACTAGCATCAGTGAAGTAATGGATGGCTCAAAATTTGAGCCATCCATTACTTCACTGATTGTAGATTTGCAGTTATAACTACGTACTCAGTGTTCTCACCAGGATTTTGCCTTGGGGAGTCCCAGGGCCCCCTCTTCTGAGAAATAGGGGCCCTGTAAGAACATTAGGGCGACAAAGTTACAAAAAACACGCGGTACGAAGAACCTGAGCTCGCACTCCAAATTGTCTGTTACATGAAGTACCTACCTGATCCAATATGGCGGAAGAGGTGTTTAGGATTCGGAGGAGGAGTTTACGATGTAGTCAGTGGGACGTGCGTGGGACCAATGAAAGTAAAGGCAACAAAATTAAAGACTTTGACTCATTTGATATCATGTTTTTTATTTATTCAAACAAACAGAATGCTTTAGTGTTAGGGTGACCATTAAAACTACTTAAGTCCGTTTGACTCGTAGCTTGCCCCTGCGCCCTAACGGGCGCATCTTCTTGGTTTTAATGCGCCATTTCAGTTTTTCTTGCGGGAATCCCGCAAGGCCGCGGCCTGGTGAGAACACTGCGTACTGAGACATTGTGTATCCACGTTATAATATGCTTAAAAGTATTTTTTAATACGCATTTTGCCTGTTACAGTTTATCGAGAAATTTTAAAAAGTTCAGACTTTTTGTAAAAATTTGATGCCCTTTTTGAGTTATTTGTGTATTGAAATTGCAAAAAAATATACCCAGCAAAATACTGTCTCACAAAAATTGTGAAATTAACTACCCTTAAAAATTTATTACTAAAAAGGTAGATGAAAATTAATGTGGTACCATACATTCAAAGTAATATTGTGGTCCCTGCATGGATGGCAATACTTGAATGCTCTGTAAAAGTAAAATAATGATATTCATGAAATTGCTCTTTATAGCCTCTAAGTAAGCTTGTACTCGTTAATCCTCTTTATAGGTGAAGGTGGTTTATGTGAGAAACATCTCTCCAAACATCACAGAAGAGAAAATACAAGAGGAATTCTGCCAGTTTGGAACAGTGGATCGTGTTAAGAAGCTCAAGGATTATGCTTTTGTCCACTTCAGTGAACGAGAAAGCGCTATGAATGCCATAGAGGCAATGCACAACCACGTTTGGGATGACATTGCAATTGATGTGTCCCTTGCTAAGCCGCAGCCAGCTAACAAAGACAAACGTAGAGGGGGAGGAGCTGGAATGGGTTCCCGTGGCAATTTTTCTCGTGGTGGTGGGCCAAGGGGTCGAGGGCGTGGTCAAGGAGGCTACAGCCAAGGGTACCAAGGGTACCAAGGCTACGATAATAGCAGTGGTTATGATTCGTATGGTGGTAATAGTAGCTATGATGATGGTAGCAATTATGATAGTTACTATGGTGGTGGCGGTGGAGGTGACTATAGTTATGGTGGATATAGTGATGGAGGTTATGGTGATGGTGGATACGGGGGAAGTGGCTATGGGGGTGCCAGCAACTACTCCAGCCGTGGTGGTGGAAGAGGTGGGCCAAGGGGTGGGCCCAGGGGTGCTCCAAGAGGTGGTCCAAGGGGTGGATCCAGAGGTGGCCCAAGAGGTGGACAAAGAGGTGGGCCAAGAGGGGCACCTAGAGGTGGTCGTGGTGGACCAAGAGGAGCGGCACGTGGCGGACGAGGTGGTGACTCTGGACGTGGTGCTGGAGGAAGAGGCGGACGAGGGGGACCTCCTAGGGGAAGAGGAGGTGGCTTTGGTCCACAGAAACGCAAGTTTGGTGGTGACAGCGGCGGTGGTTACCAAGAAGCGAAGAGGCCCTACATGGATTACAGCCAGCAGGATTACGGGCAGCAGGAACAGCAGTGGGGCCAGGACTACAGCTATGGTGACCAGGGAGAGCAGTGGTATCAAGACTCGTATTCACAGCAGCAGTGGTATTGATCATGATCCAGATTGGCAGCCATTCAACCAAATCAACCACAATTATTGATTGTTGTTTATAAATTGGTCCATTTCATTTTGTTCTGAGCCCAATTTTATGTGTTACCGATTGGATCCCAAGAAACTTAGTAGAAAATGCCAAACAAGAATGCACTATTCTTTTTTAACCAAAAACTTCTTAAGACAAGTTGTCTGAACAACTTACATTTGTTTCTAGTCATATTATACTGATTCAAGAAGTAAATTGTGTAGTGTTGCTTAAAATTAAATTTTGTAGGTTTACACCAAACTATATTAGGAAATTTCATTTCTATTCGGATTCCAGTTTTATATTTTAATTGGCTTTATTTGTTTGAAAGTATAATCTTTGTGGCCAAAAAAATAGCTTAGTTCATTTGAAACCATTACTCAAAGTTAAATTTACAAGTTTACCTTTTTACCAGGTTCAAACGTATTTAGTGGGTAAACTAATTGCTTCCTTATTGTCATTATCAAAATAAAATTGCTCTACAAAAATAATTAAGCTGGCAACCAAAGCTGGTTTTAAATTGTATGTTGTTATTTGCTGTGTCAAAAAGTGAATTATAATTGAAGGTGAAATTGCATCAGGAAATTTACAAAATAAATTCATGATGAAATTGCACCAAGAAATTTTAAAACTAAATCATGTTCAAATTGCCTTGAGAAATTTCAAAGTCTGATGAAAATGCATCAAAGGTAATAAATTACAGGACAATTCCTGGTGCGAAATCCCTCACGAAATTAACGTTAGAAATTCGCATTAAAATTGAATAAAAATGTGCAACGAAATTCAAAAGAAAAAACATCTTTTTGCCAAAGTTTTGCGGAATGGCAGTTTGATGTGGTAAGTGTGGTATTATTTAAATGATTTTTTAATTATTATTTTAATGTATATTGAATTATATTATGGTTGCGTTTTAACCCTCCTAAGTGACTATTCGCATGCTGTGATAAAGAAGACCGGTAGACTTGCCTGCTGTTATGACATTCTTCGTTGAACTTCGTCTTAAGTCTCGTTAGGCGTTTTCCTTATCTTGTGTTGATACCTTGAGGAGAATTTGACACCCTTTTCTACTGGGATCTTAAAGGTTTCATATTTTTCTATTCGCGCTCTGAAACTCTATGGCAGCAAATATTAGTAATAGAAAATGGGTTGTAGGAAAGTTTTGTGGTCGTAGTATTTTCTTCCGTGCACAATATTATTGACGTTTCGAATTACTTCCCACAAGTTTTTAACTGGTTTCTCAAAAATGAAATACTGAAGAAGAAACCTAAAAATGGTGCTTCGATATTTAATGCCATAACAGTTATATTTTAAATCGTGGCCCTGATTTTCCAATGCTACAGTAGTTACCTCAGTACAGTCTTAAGCAAGGTACGTTCCACCTCGCTTTCGTAAGAAAACGTGTTTTTCAGAATACATAAACCTAGTCAAATCACAGAAACAAAAAAGCAACCTTTTAGCCGGTTCGCCTCAGTTGTTACCTTCCTCGTCACGCAACACTTCCCCCTCCTCCTCCCCCCCCTCCCCCCCCGTTAAAAAAAAGAAACATTCGTGAGTAGCTGTTCTTTTTTAGGAGGAGAGTTGCGTGACGAGAAGGATAACGCTTTCTCGGAAAACAACATCAACTACTGCTTTTACTTCTCATAATGAACATGCGACCTTTTCGAACAAACTCATCAAAGTAAGGCAAAATCATGGGAACCTACTTCGGACCCTTACAATTGTGCTAGGCAGCGAAGGCTTCATTCGCAGAGTCAAGATTTTTATCTACAATTTTGGTTTCCAAATTCCAATGGGACAGTCGCTCTCTAAAGTCATCCAAGTTGGACTTGGTATTCTGCCCTCAGATCGTCGTCTGGGGCTGTTGCATGGAAAATTTAACAAGTCACAAGTTTAAAACATGAATAGCTTTCTATTGAGGGTAACCATCGGGTCTTTTTTGTCCAGACTCGCATTTTTAGGGCTCAGGTTTCAGGGATAGCACATTAAGTCAATCAAAGGCTTACAGTCTATTGGACGCCTGTGTTTGTCGCTCATCGTCAACTTTCACTGTTCGATACAAAGTGGAAAATGGAAACGGTCTTAGATGGTGCACTTAAACATTTCAAAATGGAGACAAGTACTTAAAAAGAAAGTACCCGTACAGGTGGCATTTCTCCTGACCCCTATAGATTGTTTTCACTCGCGTGGTCAGCATAGATGCAAATTTATTGGAACAAAAGAAAACGTTTGCATAAGAAGAGTTCAACTCCCACAGAACTGGTTTGGGACATCAACATGGCCTCCGTTTCATTGTTTTGGGACACCAATATGGCCACCGTGACGTCATGTGGAAACGCTCTGTGGAGTGTTTTCACATGACGTCACGGCGGCCATATTGGGCCGTTTCATTGTTTTGGGACACCAATATGGTCACCGTGACGTCATGTGAAAAGTTTTCACATGACGTCACGGCGGCCATATTGGTGTCCCAAAACTATGAAACGGCGGCCATGTTGGTGTACCAAAAAAATCGTCTGGGAGTTTAACTCTTTTCTCATGTAAATGCTTTCTTTTGTTCCATTAAATTAGCATGACGGCGGGAAGAGGAGAGCGGAGCAGAAATACTGGGAGTGAGAGCTACAATTGGCGACAACGTTGTTGAGACATGGTACTCAAATTGGGTAACTTCGAAGAACAAAACAGTCCACACCCCTCCCCATTTAAAGTTGGGGTGTTTGGTGTTTTCTATAGGTAGCTCGAACAGCGGCACAACATTGCATAGAGGGGACAGGGGAGGAAAAGCTTTATTGTCGCCTTTTGAAGTCAGTTAAACGTCAGAAAGCCCCTTTTGGGCGAACTGTCTCAACTAATTTTGTCGCCTATTATAGAGAAAAGAAAGGTGTCTGACAGCTAAAAGCCACACCGGTAATATAGGTGGTTCACATTTGTACTCTGTTGGGCGACATGCAAAATTTATAACAATGTCGGAAGGCTTCCTCTTTCTATTCTAACCTCAGTTTCTTTTTTTTTTTTTTTCGCTTCTTTCTGTACTTCTCGCCGCTCTCCACCATCTGAACGCTTTGACCAGGCAAGTCAGGACTGTACGTGGACACAAGTCTGGCTCCGTTGTTGTCCCCTTTCCAGAGGAGAGAGGATGATATGCTCGTGAATGAATTAAAGGAAATTCTTATCCTTTCTCTTTTGTTTTTCTAAAGAAATTGGTCGGTTAGGAGTATGCGCATGGCTCTACCTGAGGAAAGACGAACGAAAAATATTAAGCACTTGCGCACAAAAAAGTTCCTTGAAATGTTTTAGGCAAAAGCACTCCTTGATTTTCGTGCATTCGTATGGATTACTTTGACATTACTCATACGAGCAAGCTGTACACACTTTGATATCAGTGGTTCGGTGTAGACTGAGGACATGCGGTACAGTCGGCGTTAAAAACAAGAAGTGTACCGAAATCCGACATAATAAAAGCCTTGTTTTCAACCACGGATTGGAAAGGGGAGGTCTTTTTCTTGTGCCATTTCTGTTCCTTTTGTTGTGTTTCATTCTTACGTGAATGGTACCTGGGTCTTGAGATTCGTTCCGGGAGCGAGAATGTGAAGTCGTGGCAGGCGCTCTTTTTCCCTCCACTTGTCCCTCTTTTTTGGACGATAGTAAAAATTTTTAAGTAGGATGAACCCCGACTCGAAGTGAGGGTCCCTTGTTCTTTTTGTATTTCTTTCTCTTGTTCGCTTTGGTTCAAGGAAAACTGGCGAAAGCAAAAGAAAAGAACGATGGACGCCGTTTACCGATACTCGTAAGTGACGCATTGGGCATGAGCTCGTCTCCTAAACCCACGCATGTCACAGACTCGTAAGGACCCGCTATCTTTATGTGCTGTAGATGATCAAATAGACGCAGGGCGCCTATTTAATTTTAGGCGCCCAAGCGAATAATTGATAGCAAGCATTTAAAAGAGAGAAGTGGTTATTTTCACAACTGTCACAAACTCCACAAAACTAATATGGTTTCGGCGAATATATCCCCACAGTTTTAAACTAGCAGACTTTATTCCATCCATTGACACGTGTAGTCCTTTCAGAAATCCATATCGTCTTTTTAAAGCAGTCAACTTCGATGTCACAATTAATCCTTACCGTGAACTTGACAATGAACAAAATGCAATGCGCAAACTCTTATTGATCAAGCAGAGGACTGAATGTAGATTTACTGATTTTACTCTCTTTTCTTATTTCCAAGTATTTATGAGCAATTGTCACACTTTGCGTCCATAAGACAGAGGGCGTTTATTGGAGCAGGGCGTCTGATACAAACTTAACACCAAAGAGGGCGATTATAAGAAAGTAGGCGTTTATTTGAGAGAGGGCGTCTATTAAATCACTTACCATTTTTTAAAACCATCTTTTGGGAAGAGTTGTCCCAGTATTATAGGTACATATAAGCCTAACTTCGGTAGTATCGTTTTCTTTTGCAGGTCCAGTGGCACGTGAAGCACACTATTGGCCTCTTCTCTTCTTTCTCACGTGCTCCAGTTTATTCATTAATTTCTGTGTTCTAACCTTGCTTTACCAAGCTACAAGTTTTTTCCTTAAAGCAGGTCCTTCCCCGGCCCTCCTGTGCTTTGGAGAAAAAAATCGCGACATTTGTCTTCCGCGGAGGAGTTAACTGTCTGCAAGACGCTCTGTCTTCGGGAGGCGACTCCATTACAGAGAAAAAGAGAAAACGACTGAAGAGAGGGAAGGATCGTCTCAAGTTCGTTATACGGAGGTGTCCAACTAATCTTGAGGTTACCTGCTGAGGTAATTTGTGTTAGCGATCTGAGCTGTCGCATTTTAAGTAACTGGACCCTGGATTGGCGGTTGTTGATGAGAAATTAGTCCTGAAGCTGGACTCAAAACACTCCAGATATCACTGCAGGTAATGGGTCATTAATAATGTAATTTTGTCGTTTTGATGTATATAAGTTAATTGAGAATAAAGGAAGTTTTAATCCAGGCTCTTATTGTGGCTGTTTTTCCTGCGTTATATTAAGCTAGGTTTACACGGCACAGGACCAATTCTCGACCGGTTGCACGGAACTTTGAGGGGAAAGAAGTTTAAATTTTCGCACGGTTAACTGGTGGTTCCATGTGAACGCAATACCTAAATGCACGAATCTTCAACCGGTGAAGAATTCGTCCAGTGCCGTGTGAACATAGCCTCAGTTACTGATCCCTTTACAGCTGCTTTTTCTGGAAGTGAATGATAGCTAATGATGAAATATTGAATCCTGTGTGTTGTGACCATAGAAGTGAGATCCCCTCAACAGTTCTTCCGCACATTACTATGAGACCTACTTCTAATTCTTGAGTCTGGGTGAAGGCCCTTTGTGTGACTATTTAGGTGAAACCTATTCAGCAGTACTTCCAGATGGTACTACCGTAAATCCTCTATTAAGCCCCTCAGGGGGCCTATTTATTTCAAGCCCATTTGAGGGGGTAGGGCTTATTTGAGACGGGAGAACTGGAATAGAAAGTGGAAAAGCTCGAG